AGGCCCAGGATGAGGCTGATTTTCACAGCTCGTATTGTCTTTGCCATTGCGACCGAACCTCTAGCTCAGTGACCGATCAGTAGCAGAGACTGAGCCAAACACAGCGCTGATCTTCTCTAGTGTCCTCCTTGCAACAGCGTCTATTTGAGGATCATAAAGCATAATCGTTCGTTATTGTCACTGATCTATTTCGACTTCTACTCAGTTATTCCGATGCGGGTTTGACCTTCCAAAACGTCCTGGCTAACGGTCTAGATGCACTCTTTGACATACCAACATATTTCGCAATGACACTAATTCGACTTGAAGAAATTTGAATTTGATCAAAAATCGGACAGGAATTATGGGACAACCCAATATCTATTTAGTTATCAGGACATCCGAAGATATTAAGAATATCACTGATAGTTCTTGCTTACCTGCTCCTTAGGAGTTCTTGCTTTCGGGGTGCGTTTGCGAGCTGCTTTCTAAATATATGTGTTTTTAATGGCTATCGTGAAGGTTGGTGGGTTCTAGGTTCCACAACAAATACTTTTATATAAGTCTGTTTCAGGGTCCCCAGAAAAATACAGTAGCGGTCAAAAGTGTTCGCCGAAACGATTTTTAGGTGCATTTTTTTTCTCGCTTGAGCAACGCCCTCCAAAGATTGATATACTATGTTTTCTAGTGTTTTTATATCCTCAAAAAGAATCAGGATGTTCAAAGAAAAAATTTTCGAGGTCACCATTGTTTTTTTTCTGATAAAAAAAAGAGAAGCACCCGCTTATGCTCTTCATACATTCGTTTCGGCGAACACTTCTTACCGCTACTGTATTTATATTTGAGTCTATCTCCCTCGAGTACCCTAAACAACTCCAAGAGAGAACGTAGAGAATAATTTGGGTGTGAGTCAGGAAATGCTCAGCAACCACCATACCCTGATTAACACATAACAAAATTCAAGGATAAATACTCACGCGACGTGACCGTGCTGTTGCTCTGGATGAGCGGCGACTTTTTGCCCGATTCGATTTTGCCCGATTCGACTTTGCCCGATTCGAGCGTCTCCGGGAGCTGAAAAATAACATTTGGGATTTGTATCTGACAGTATCATCAGTAATCAGTTTGTCCCTGTAGTAGCATATTAGCCACAACAGTATAGTTAAGAGCAAAAATTGTTTGAAAGATGTAGCATAAAACTAGAGAGGGCTTGGCTCTGGCTGAACTTAAGAGCACCCGCTTATGCTCTTCATACATTCGTTCTACAAAATTTAATTGACTTCCATAAATTGGTTACTCTTCAAACCAGAGGAGGAATGGGAGGGATTTGGCAAAGAGTTCTTCACCCATAAATTTGGGAATAATTACACTTTGCTGAAGTCAAAGTGAATGTTTCCAACTTGGTATTGGAGAACACATTACATTCCGTAGAAAAGAACTTCATAGCCCCTTCTACGCGGACGACATTATAAGAGTCTGCTACGGAAACATGGTGCACTGGTCGAGCTCAACGGGGCCCTCGACGGCGCTACGATGAAATTTGAAACGCTAGTCGGAAGAGGACTTGCACAGTCAGAGCTAGTGCAATGTGCAGAGGGACCATCGATAAATCAACAGCAGAAATAATGTAGCAGCTCAGGCGGGAGCAATGGGTAGCCTCCTTGAGCTCCAGAGCTATGGCAGATGTCGTCGAATTTGGGAGACGGTGACAGCAGTGAAGGAAGGCCTGACACAGCTTATTTTAGGACAATTGAAGAATCCTTTCGTAGAACATCCATCAACGATGTCCTATCCACTTGTCCATGTCCACTTGGGTGGGATTTTCGGGGAGGAATAGGACTTAGTTAGGGAGTAAGGCTGGGGGATTCCGAATGGTATCAGGTTTTTCAGAGATTTCAACTAAACTTCGCAGGTCATGCTGAAATTTTGGAACTGGATTTACCACACTATATCCCCTCCACGCGCGGAAGGAACATATCCCGGGTAAAGCCATGTCAGTGACACGGATGGAGGGGATGGAAGTAAATGAAGTCGGAAGTGGACTTGTGGAACTTTGACTGGGTCAGTAGTGGGGGAGCGCAGTGGTTCATATTTGGACAGAACTGCGTAATTGGTATATTATAACCATAATGTAGTTTCCAGCTTGTTTCGTAGTATTTTTTTTAATTTTATCTGTTGAGTGAACATTACTAGCCAAGCTCGTCATACTCATAGAAGAGATGAAATCTAGCGGCATCGCCTGATAACGTTTTCTCATGGGTCAGTACGCCTTCGAATGTTTAGTACCCTTTGTTTCAGGAAACAGGAGCGCGTTTAGTGCAGACCACACACCACAAATGATTAGGACTTCCAAGTATTCAAATCAGATAGCTTGTTATTCATGCTGAGCTGATAGATGGTAAATGGGAGTTGCATTTAGTGACAACTGAGAGGATATAAGTGTATACGCCTAATCCATTCAATGTGACAAAAACATTTACATTAGGAGGCCGTCGTCACTTGTGGTGTGTGGTGTGCACTCGACGCTTCAGTTTGCTGAAGAGAGGGTAAGTGCGAAATGTTCCGCATAGCATTGTTTTCTTTTCTTCAAAGGGCATCCAGAATGGGAAAATGCACAAAGTTCGTTTAGAGCTAGATATAAAATCGCTTTAGTAAAGTTTTAGTCGATCGAAAACTTTACTGATGTGATCGTGGTGATTTGGATTGACGGCACACCTTTGGCGACCGTAAAGCACATTTTGGTGATTGTTCGTTCTTCGGAGTTTTGGCTGTAGATTTGGAGTCCGCCGTATCGAGGATCTGAATTCAATTTCAATGAGGAACAATACAAAGGTACGATCGCGGGGTTACACAAATTTAACCCAATAAGTAGCCATGAAACTAAAAACATCAGAGTGGCGGTAGCAGTGGTACATTGCTCTTCTCTTCAGACTCTTATTATCTGTTATACATATTCTCAACACCAAAGTTCGCAATCAACAGAGGAGAGAAGGTACTTCAGTGGTACAAGAAACCTGCATCTAGGAATAGAAGACCTCTCCACAAACGACTCGATGAACATCGGAGGGCTCTACAAAATCCGGCCTCATATCCAGGTAACAGCTTCTCCAAACATAGAACCCAACAACATGCCCAAGGGGATCCACCCACCCTCAACGTAAAAGTCCTACACCGTTCCGTTGAAAACACAGTGGAACGCAAAATACTGGAGGCTCTGGAAATAAAAAGACTAGCCCCGGAAATAAATAGCAGAGACGAGTTGCGTGACTCTCTTCAACTCATCGCATGACTACAGTTATCACTGTGGAATGAATGCGATATTTTGGGAAATAACGGTCGTAGCACGTCAACGCTATTTAAGGGTAAATCTAGGGTAGGGAACAGTTCCTGCTTCACAGACCGACAAGGGTGGTAAGTGTTACACTTTTGAAAGTGAACAGCAGGTGGGTCAGTTAATATATTTTAATATATTAACAGACTTTAAGAAAGCTTATAATTTTCATTTCAGGCTCGACAAAGGCGCTAAGCGCCGAAAGCTCGCCAAAAAAGGCTTAAACTTTTGCAAAACTTTTGCAAACACTCATTTTTGCAATTTCTTTTGTAGAAAGTTTTGAGTCTTTTGCAATAAATTTTGAAGTCTCACATTGTTTTAATACACATTTAACATAATATATAAAAGTGCCCCATGGATCGCATTGGTGGAGGCTTGCCAGCAGGAATGACGAAGGTATTCCCGGGGCGAAATGGCCGCAGTGAAGGAGTGAGAAGACACTCCTAAAACATTCCAGTTTGAGGCTCACTCCCTTCCTATCGTCGTGCTAAGGGGTGAGAGACTAACCGGGAGGAGAGATGACGTGCGATGTTACAGAGAGAGCCCCATACCGCAGCCTGGCAAGAGAAGAGCTGCAGCTTCAGGGCAGCTTGTTTGGCCAAGCCCCGCCGCCGCTCGCCCGTTGGCTTCCGACTGCACGGGGAACCGCACACTTTGATCTGTCTTTTAGGGCTCTATGTCAAAGAGCAAACGAAAGCGTTCATACGACCGTTGCCTGGGTTGTGCCTCTAAGGCACACTTCGCTATAGCGCGGGTGTATTCGAAAATGGAAGCAGGGTTGGAAACTGACCGGTGGTGGAGGAGGAAACGAAAAGAATTCGTCGAAAGTTAAGTTAAGAAAGCTCTAAAATGAGGAGCTTACTAATTTTTTAGATTGGTTCTGCTAGAGCAATGAGACCCAGAGCGTGGAGAACAGAAGATAGGCGAGGGAGCATTGCGAATGAGGAGACGCCAGACGTCTGGGTGTTGTAAATGAGAAAAAAACTGGTGGTTGAGGAAAATGGGAAGGCCGCGAGGCCATTGTCGCGCGTTATCGAGCTGTAACAAGGGAATATTTGTCACTTGAGTGAACACCACGTAACCTACCAGAATTAATGGTCAGGCGTAGGCATGATCCAACAAGAGAACATCGAGTGAATTGGGATAATCAGTGGCGTCGAGACAGCAACAAGCTCATCTGTATACAAATTCAGTAGGTCTTCCAACGTGAATGGCTCGTTTGTTCTAGGCGATAACCTTAAACTAAAAGCAACGGGCGAATTCTTCGTAGACATGCAGACCATCGAAGGTCGCCCTAATGAGTAACATAGAACATAGTGAGCCACAGACACACCCGTGCATCGTGCGCGAATCTTAGTATCTAAGTAAGCCCCAAATAAGTAATTTCCACTACTGGAACCATTACACACTGATAAGGATCTTACATTTTCCATGGAATTGCGAAGAAGGTCAGATGATGTCTGTGGAGACGGTTATTGAGATTAACCGTGGAATAGACAGTCTGACATACAATCTGTTAAAACGATTTGGTAACAAATCAAATAAGGAACGTCTTGGTCACTGTCGGGACTTTTCTTATCAACTTCCTTCTTCAGTTTCTTTTCTTTTGCTACTTTTTTCTGCAACTTTTTAATAAGTGAGCAGTGAATTTGCGCTAAGGTGAAACCTGTTTCTTGCCACTTGGGATTGGGTGAGAAGCGATGCCGCCTGCCACGTACACGATTCGGTGATCAGATTCGAAAGCGAATCTCGACAGTGCCAACTAGGTCTCCTACCCATCCGGGGTCAATTATTAGGCTGTCGGAAAAGGCTTTGGCCATTTGTTGATTTTTTTTCTAATCACTTTTTCTTCTTTAGCACGGTCAGCAATTTACAAATATGCCCTACCTTAATCGCCAACATGTTGCTTTCCAGCAGGTAACTCGTGGATTCCGTTTGCCCAGAAATCTTGAGCTTTTAAAGCCAAAACCTTGAAGAAGCCCTCTTCGAGTAGGTTCGAATTATTGAGCTCTCCCTTTTTCGTTTGACTTAACAGCAACGGAAGCAGATGGTGGTCTGTTAGTGCCGGGCCTGCTGAACGCAACAGGTGGGGCAGTATCGTCTCATAACGGGCTTGGAGACATTTGCTGAACCTCCATCCAAATTCGCTGACAAGTGAGGAGATGTCAGTGAAAGAACCGCTTGCAACTTCATCAGTTCTGAAAGTTACCTACCAGGTTGCAGTGCTGGAATGGGAGCTGGAATCCTCGGATCTACGCGTCTGGGCCACTGACCCCTTCTGACCGGCTGTTGATGGTGAGGAACCCACTTCTGATTATCACCAACAAAGTAACCGGGTCAAACAAGAGACAGACGCTAAATCAAAATAATCATGCAAAATTTGAAGGCTTCTGACGGCGGTCGTCACCAACGTCACGAAACCTTTTCTATATTCTCGCCTTTAGGAGAAGATATTGAGGAACAGCTATTGCGTTCTGAAAACTTTGAAGAAGCTGCGTCAGTTCCCCGAGCATTACCCGGAGACTGTTCCAAACAGCTCCAGAAGACACTCGTCATTCAGAGGAATAGGCCAGAAGAATTTGTGCATTTTCTGGTTTCTGGAATTCGGCAACCAAGTGTTCACCATGAGAGATACTCTGCGGTTCCATCGCGAAACATGAGCTCTTGCCGCATCGCTTCCACTGATGCGTTTTCTGGGTTTTAGAAACATGAACAGCTAAACATGCTTCAAGTTGAAAACGATTTTCTCGGCTATAATCGCTGTGAGAAACCACGACATAAAGAGGAGATCGTTTATGAGGAGATCGCTGACTAGTGTTTACATAAGTTTTGCAATAAATGTTCAAAAATTATCCCTGAAGATTTTACAACATGCAGATCGAAATGGCCAACGACTTTCCTAGAACCTGCTGTGATAAATAGTAAACCTTTCTCACCAGGGAGAATAAAAACTGTCTCATGACTTGAAGTGGGCAGCTGATGTAGGACTGGGAAAAAGGTATTATTCAGTTCACCCGTATGGGTAGTATATTGTGTATAGTATCATCAAGTGGCCCCATCAAGTCATTACCTAAGCCAAGTCGCAGTTACGTGAGCACCACAGGGAACTGAAAATCAGCTCATGTCAGGCGCTCTGTTCTATTTTATTCTTTTTTCTATTATTGTATGCCAGAAAACGAAGAAATAAATGGGATGGAGTATGGTAGATTTAGACTATCATGTACCAACCTTTTTGCCAAATTGATAGTACCGACAGCGGAAGACGGTGAAAGTGAGTTGAAGCTGAAATTCAGCAGTGCGTTGGGACAATGCTCCACAGCTAACTGGTGCTGCCAACAAGGAAAAGGTCTTAGGTTGTTATGGCCATTCAAGTAGCGATGTACAAATACGCCTTGACGTGCCTTAATCTGATTCTCATACCTTCCGAGTTTGCTAAATTATTTTCTGAACAAAGTTATGAAACAAAAGAGGCACGGTAGTAAGAGGTCCTAAAAGTGAAAAACCTTCGCAGGCGAACTACTTTATCGTGTCATATTTGCTATCTAGTATCCTTCTATTTTATAAAGCGCTAACTTTGTGTGTCGGTTTGTGTATCTGTATGTGTGTGTATGTATGTGTGTCCGTCCGCAAAATGAAGTGAGTGAGAAGGAAGCTCATGGGATAACAAACCGCTAACAAATCGGGTAGCTTACAGGATTTGAGATATCAATGTTTTGTAGCAGGATAGTTGTGATAACACTCTTAGGGCTATATAAACACCTGCTTAGCACACTTCCGTTCATTCCACATGGTGCTGCAGTGGCAGCTGGAGGGCAGTGGAGAGAGGAAGGGAGGATGAGGAAGGGAAGCGAAAAATCTACCGTCATATCATGATTGTGTCCCTTCTACTGTATGAAACACCATTGTGTTGCATACGCGTCACTTCCAGGTGTTGGTGTCACAGGAGGAAGGGACCATAGCGGAGGATAGAAAGCTTGCGCAGGAAAGGAAGGTCCCGGCGGTTGACGGGGGACTAATCTGGTATCTAACAATAGTGGGCTCTAAAAGCCGCTTCAGCTATTTCCATCAAAAAAGCAGGATAGAAGACACAATTACTGTTCGATCCTACTACATCTTGACTGTTAGTCCCGACCACTACCGTTGCGCGGTTCTGCTCCTTTCCGAGAATCGTTTGGCAAATTTGGGTCGGGGATCATAGACAGATCTAGTACTGTACATGTCTGGCCGTGGCCATGGCGACCTAGGATCTTTTCTTGTGAGCTGTTAAAATCGCACTTTGCATAGCCTTTACCTTTTTCGAAACTGTTAGTACACATGAATTGTTCTTATAGTTCATATAATTCGGCGCACTAAATAAGGTGACAAGACGTCCGTCGAATGAAATTCGATACCCATTTTTGTACATCTGAAAAGCTGAACTTCTGAGAAAAAAGCGTGAAAAGCTGTAGGTTAGGAAAAGATACGTCAGAATTCGTGTAGCATATATCTAGTCGATACTTTGACCACGTTGTTGAGAGGGATCCAAGTTGATACGTAGTTTCGAAGGCGCAGCTCACACTAGCTGATTTATACCAACCCCTTTTGCCAATGAGTTGATTCCGCGCCCAGACACATATAGGGTTGGTTCCACGATCAAGGATCGATTTTGCCTACAGGTCTCAGTTCTCGTCCTGGTGCCCAATGTTTGCCAAACTCTGATTCTGTCTGCATCATGAATTCATCCACAAAACCTTTATTTTTAGTGCTTTCAGTGTTCATTTCACTTCTTCTTCACTGATGATCCAAACCCTACTACACTCCGTTGCAAAACTATACGACATACCTCAAATTTCGGGGTTCTGAGGCGAGGGTGGGATTAGCAGGAAAACGTCTACTGCCATTCGATTCAGCGTGTTAACAAACCTACTGAGGAGATTCACTTTCAAATTTCATTCATTTTCAAAAGCATGGGATCAAAAAAACGAAAAAAAGGCCGTTGCAAAACTATACGACATAGCACATTTTTTTTCACAGGAATTTTATTTCAGTACACGTTTCCACAACAATTGTAAACCATATAGCAGTATGTGATAGGTCAATAGTCAACAGGTCCGCCATGATGTGCTATCACGTCGAACAGCCGATTTGGCATGCTCTCAATCAACTTCTTCAGAACCTCCTTCTGTATCAGTGCCCATTCCTCGAGTATCGCCTTTTGTAAGAGAGCCACTGTCTCGTACTGTTTTCCCCGAGCGTAGATTCGACGCGCGAGGATGCCCCACAGATTTTCCATCGGATTCAGATCGGGGGAACATGCAGGCCAATCCAGTAAATCGATGTGATGAGCCTCGAACCAATCCAGAGTTGATCTGCTAACGTGTATGGCAGCGTTGTCTTGCTGAAAAATGAGACGATGGCGGCGATTTCTTCTCATAAATGGTAGAAGGTGGTTTTTGAGCACGTCCTGGTAATCACTGGAATTCATTCGGCAAGTCGTGAAGACTATATCCAGCTTGCCACACCAGCTAAAAGCCGCCCAGCACATCACGCTTCCACCGCCAAAGTTCCGCTTAGAGAAGGTGATTGGATTTTTGCGCAGATCTCTCCAATACGAGTGCCATCCGTCCGGCCCATCCAAATTGAACTTTTTTTCGTCGGAAAAAATGATCTGCAACAGCAAGTACCACTCATGGTCGTCCAAAACTACACGTAATAATTAGTACTACCGTCTTCCAATTTGTCTGCATGTTGATTCTTGCAAAGCAAAGACGAGCCTCCTTGTGTTCCTTCGTAAGTCGGGGAGCACTCTTCATTTTCTCACGGACTATGTATGACGAGTCATTAATCACACGTATGACCGTGTCTTTGCTCACTTGGAGCCCCAATTCTCTCCCTGATTTCGCTAGCCGTCTTCGTGCTGTTCGACGCCAATCGAAGAATTGAACGGCGATCACGTTCGCTCAGCTTCTTCGGTCTTCCGGTTAAAGTTTTCGTATTATACGCGAGTGGATTCCGCAAATACCGTGCAATGCAGTCTCGAGAGCGGTCGATCCGCTGGCTCATCCGGCGAACACTCCATCCCAGGTCGCGCATGACGTCGATTTCAGCCTGCTCGTCCATAGAAAGGCGATTGTTGCGTGGCATTTTGCTCCATGTGGAGTAGAAACATATATGGTATATGTATGCAACATGAAACGGTAATATTTCTCGTTTCCAATCTGGATATAGTTGAGGAGTGTTGAGAATCAGTAGCTATGTCGTATAGTTTTGCAACGGCCTTTTTTTCGTTTTTTCGACCCCACGCTTTTGAAAATGAATGAAATTCGATAATGATTCACCCCTGTAGGTTTGTTTGCACGCTGAATCGAACGGCATTGACCATTTCCCTGCTCATACCACGCTAACTTCAGAACTCCAAAATTTGGGGTATGTCGTATAGTTTTGCAACGGAGTGTAACTTTCATTTTGGTAGAAGAGCCCACCCTGAGACCACGGGATGTGATTTTAAAGAACGAATTCGCGCTGGAAAGGCAACCCATTTCAAATTAACTTAGCGTGGTGAGTGGTACAATAAAGAAGGAAAACCATGCGAAACGGCCCAGAACCTGAGAAATGGGACCACTTCCTTGATTTGAGCATTGATGCGACTATCATCGCTGTGCCCTCTTCAACACTACGCTCTCTCACCTATCTAATCACTCGCCACGTATAGACCTGCGGCGAGTGATCAGATGATCGGTGGGCGTGCACTGGCCCACCGCGCCAAGATTGAGCCTTAATAGGTCGCCGAGGTCAACTCCTTCGGTGCCAATTGCGCTTCAGTCCGCACCCTTAGGAGGTCCGCGGGTCCCTCAACTAGGTGAATTACTCCTTCTTCGACCTTCATTCTAATCGTGAATTCTCCTTTAAAGGACGAATTCACGATGAAAAAGGCAACCCATTTCAAATTAACTAGGGATGGTGAGTGGTACACGAAAGAAGGAAGAACCATGAGAAACGGCCCAGAACCCGAGAAATGGGACCCCTTTCCTTGCCCGTTGATTTGCGCATTGATGCGACTCTCATCGCTGTGCCCTCTTCAACACTACGCTCTCTCTGCTATCTAATCACTCGCCACGTATAGACTGCGGCGAGTGATCAGATGATCGGTGGGCGGAGATCGCCAGACCCGCCAACTTTGAGGCATGATAGGTCGCCGAGGTCAAATTTTTCATGCGAATTGCGCGTCAGTTCGCACCCTCAGGAGGTCCGTGGGTCCCTCAACTAGGTCAATTCCTTTTCTTCGACCTTCATTCTAATCGTGAAATCCTCCTTTAAGACATCAAATTAACTCCATCTTATTGGCTCGTTCTAATGGGAATTCAATAGGTCGTTTTACTGGGTGTCTACTAAACCCCTAAGTCGACTTAAAGGCAGATGGCACGATAAAAATGAAGTGTTAGGTGGTAAATGGTGCATTGATGAGCAGACACCCTGTAAAACGACCTATTGAATTCCCATTAGAACGAGCCACTAAGATGGAGTTAATTTGGATGTCTTAACCAGCGTACATTGGTCAACATACATCATGCTTTGATTGATGGCACAATACAAAGGCTAATTAGAAGGCGCGGCCGGCTGGAGTGGACTGCGTTACCCGTTAAAAGCGAACGAGGATGATGACAGTACCAGCGTCGAACACGATTGCGGCGACGCTTACGTGTAGAGCCTCCAGGCCAGGCGGTAGACTCTGGAGGATGGGCCTCCCGTAAGCGGCAACCACCGCCAAGGATAAGGTCCTGCCAAGAAGTATCTGTCGTTCTTATGCCACGAAAACGGCTCCTCGGAGCTTAGTCTCCCTCTGAAGTATGCATGTTCCTCTTCCTTTATATCCAGCTTATTGTACCCCCACTCCTTTGAAGCGCAAGCTGGAATGCCATATATTCCATGCCGCTATTGCAGACCCCATTTCTCCGAGCTAATGTTCAAACACAGCTGATTACCTCGTTACTAATTTGATGTCCACGTAGTATAATATCGAGGTGATGCTTGGCACAGAAATCTTCCACTGCTTTCGGACCAAACAGGAAGGAAATACCTGTGAGTTGACGAGTGATTATAACTTCAATTACAATGGCAGAATGTTCTCACCTCGATGGCTTAGCACCCATCCGTCTCTGTGGAGGGCCGGATCTGACCATACTAGATCGCACCCGATACCGTATGCCGGCACAACTGATGGCCTCTTTATCTGAAAGCAAAACCATGAAAGTTCTGCAATCTGCTAAAACGTAGAATAACTCATGAGCTATGTTTACATGAGTTCAGGTCGAGGTTAAAAGCAAGAATCAGGATTACATTGATGGGATTCCACTCAAATGTGAAAGTAGGGATGAGAGGTGGACCGCCAATGGAGAAAAAAGGAAAGAAAATCCTGAAATACACAGGAAATACGAGCATTTTGCTCTGGAGAAGTTCAAAAGACAGGCAGGGAGATGAGAGATAATGTGAGCGCGGAGAGTGGTAGAGAAGTCCGAGAAGAGAGAGCATAGCAGATCAACGCAGCGACGCAGACAAGATATCGAACGGTGGGCGGACCATGTTAAGTTTGGTGGAGTCTGTTAGAAGTCCATGGCGCCTAGGGTCCTAGTGACGCGTTTCGATGTAGAAAGGTGGCGCTACCTTTGCACTTGCGTACCCAGCACTTCTAGCCATGGTAAGGGCTTCTTAGGTGGGTCTGAGCCCGAACTTTGCCTTTAACTTTCGACTCATTTCAGGTGTAAGGCAGCTCCCGCCGCCGAAATTTTTCATCTCTCCAAGGTTGATTAGTTCATATCAGAAACGTCCATAGGATTATCAGTACTCCAACGACGTAGGTCATCTATGGGCTCTGCAAAAACACCACTAACTAAACCAGACCAAACCTACACTACAGACAACACTATAGACCGTAGTGCGTTGAATGAATGCTCTGTGCATGGCGCCTCCCACGGGTTTGGTAGGCGAAACACTTAGTCATTCATAAGCGTTTAAGTATCCATTTTGAAAGAACAATCTGACCAGTTCAACGACGTAAACTTTCCATTTTTATAGGAGCTTTTTAAATGATACCACCCAAATTGCGCAGATCCCAAGGCAAGAAAAGCTCGCTGTCTATTCACATTACCATTGGCTCGAAATACGTAGGATCAGTACATCGTATTAGGGTATGTTTATCTGTTACTAGTTCAATGATCATCATGTAGCTAGTGTGAAATCAGTCCTCATTTGGACGATGAGATATCCAAGTCAGTCCGGAAATGAGTCTTGAAACAGAATTCCAACCACTGACCTTATTGATATCGCTCAATTTGTCGATGAATGGAGATATTCCACCATGTGCGCAGTATATTGTGTCAGCAATAATGGCTGCCACAGGCATACAGTTGAAAGCCTCGAGAAAAGTCCGCCAGACCCAAAACGACTTTTTTTTTAATATTCAGAGACCTTTGAAAGCATTGAGAGCGTTCAACCTTGACACCAGGCGCATTTGCTTCTGTAGATGGCCATCTAGTGATACATTCATCAAAGAAGCCATAGTTAAGAGTAGTATTTGCATCTTCATGATTTCCACGAAGCAAGTAAACCTTCAAATAACTACGCTAACCGATTTGTCATTTGCTACAGAAGATGGTTTTTCGAGGAAGACTGTGCAACAAATATTCAGATCGAGTGTTCCAAACCTATTTCATACAAAGAACAGCTAATCATATTCAGAGACCGTTTTCATGGTATATACGGAAAAATGACAAATTAACTACTGTAATTGCGGGCCGAACATTCTCATGCTAGCAAGCGCTGGCGGTACAGATTGTATTGACCAGAATTTTTGCTCACCAACGGGGAAAGGTAGTCGTAATCACGACTTTTTGGAAGGGGTCGTACTTGGGATTGACGAGGGTCAAAAGGTTGAAAGGAAGTCCATTCGAGGGTAACCCTCTCATGTGTGGTGGTAATGGGGGATCGTATAGATACCCTTACAGGAAGAGGGACTGTAAAAAATTTTTTGACTCAAAACAAAGCGGCATTCTTACTTGTTAGTTACTAACAATATTGCCGATTATCACTGGAGCGCAAGCACTAATGCAAACTGCACGGTAAACGCAATACTTCCTTCTTTGGCAACTATTCACCTATTTGATCATGCTATCATTTTTAGCTTGTTGTTATTGGATAGCCATCGCAGTTCGCATTGTTGTGGCCGTATGCAACAAGCACCGAAGGTCGTCGTTGGTATATGAATCACCCTAGTCGAGAGTAGAGGGATTCATCCTAATGTTTGGCACTATTGCACTATTACAACCCCAGTGGGGTGAGATGGGTCAAAAAATAATTTTCGCTGAAACTTCTGCTATGGGGGTTATCGAGGGTCCTGATCACGAATATGACATCCATTTTTGGCGCTGGCGCCAAATTGGCGCCATTTGGCGCCAGTGGCGCCACTGATTATCACCAAATTCGCTGTAAACTTCTGTATAGGGGTTATTTGGGGCCCTGATCACGAATATGACACTCGTTTTTGACATTCGTGCTGTTTAACGCATATTTTCTGCTTTTCTAAGCTTTCTCACCTATAGCGCCTACGACTAAGCTTAGGGGAGGGGAGTGTGAAACTCCGGAGTGGGTAAACCACGCACCGTGTGGCAAAAGTTGGAGTGTGTTAGACCACAGGGGAGTGGCCTACTCACTTTGGAGCCCTCCACTATTCAAAGGCTTAGTCCTGATTGCGATCTAATTAGTGCGAGGGCGCAGACGAGCAGGAATAGGCGCCGAATAGCGCCAACAACAAAAACGAATGTCATATTCGTAATCAGGACCCCAAATAACCCCTATACAGAAGTTTACAGCGAATTTGGTGGAATCAGTCGTGGCGCCATGGCGCCAAGCGCCAAAAATCATATTCGTGATCAGGACCCTCGATAACCCCCATAGCCGAAGTTTCAGCGAAAATTATTTTTTGACCCATCTCACCCTACTGGGGTTGTAATAGTGCAATAGTGCCCAATGTTTTAGTACAGCGTCGGGGATATACCCGCGACGCGACGATCTACCGCAACAAGCCTCGAATGTCGTCGGGATATATCCCCGAAGCCGTATGCAATAAGCCTGGAAGGGGAAACGTCCCCGATGATCCTCGGGGCTTGTTGCATACGACCCTCGGGGTATATCCCCGACGAGTCTCGGAGCTTGTTCCGTACGACCCTTGGGGGGTATACCCCCGGCCGAGGCCAGGGTGATCACTCCGTTCGCGCTACTCGAACAAGGGGATCGCATTTGTGATTTTGGCATTTTGGGGTTAAGCAAGGTTATCGTAGTGAGTTCTGTCTGACGGAGGTCATTATAGGAGGCTGTGTTTGGACAATTTCTTTTGACGAATTTGGTGAATTTCGCGGAAAATTGAGCAAAATTGGTTGATAATCAATTAATTCCCTCTAGCCTTCCCCTCCCCCCTCTCGACGGCCGTTTTGGAGAAGAAAGTGGGAGGAGTTAGGCTTGGACTCTGTCGACTGTCTCAGAATCAAACGTCAAAACAGCCATAGATGATGGGAGCCAGAGATGGGAGAAGAGGATCGTATCCCTCTGGAAGGGAGGGGGGTCGCAAAATTTTTGAAAAAGTGTGAGCGTGATGGTCCACCCTGGCTGGGGGTGTGTACCCGACGACCTTATAGATTAAGCCCTGAAGGTCATCGGAGCATATCCCGAAACCTTCAGGGCTTGTTGCATACGGCCCAAGATGATCACAAGAATGCTGCGTAGTGGGCAAAAGGCATGCTCGAACAGTATCCTCAGCTGGGATTAAAATCGAGCGCAAGTCTTTGTGTAGGCGCAATATTCATACGATGTACTACGAGAATTAAAATCGCACGCGTGGAGCCCATCAAAGATTTCACTGCTGCCAAACACTTGGTCACTGTCCTTTGTATCAGCGATCCTGTGTTTCATGACACTTTGTTCCAACAACACTTGCCCTTTTCGCTACTGGGATCTGTGACAGCAAGACCTACCTGAAATGGATAGCGAATTTTGAGACAGAACAGTAGCGTAATTACTTCGATACCCTGAAATGCTGAGCTGCATGGAGGAAACCGATGTTGATTGTTTGAGCTTCAAAAAACTCGAATCGTTGATATACCTGTACACCTCTATCGACATAGTCGCCAAGAAAAAGAAAGGTTTCCTTCTGAGGAATACCACAAAATTTGAACACACGTAGGACTTGAGGAAGATTTCCATGAAGATCTGCCACAATATGGACCGGAAGCTCAGCTCTACAATTTTGTTGGTAAGCGGAAATAAAAGTCCAAATTTACTATCGAAACCTAGGCCGATGTCACAATTTGCGAATCGAGCGCAAATTGTGACATCGAATCGTTGCATCAGCGAATCGAACTTTGCGCCAGCGAATCGACGATGTACCAGCGACTCGACACTGTTTGAAAGTGGCGGGACCCAACGTTTAAAGGAAGTCCACTTCAAAGGACCACACTGTTTGAAAGTGGCGGGACTTCCTTTAAACGTTGGGTTCCGCCACTTTCAACAGTGTTGAGTCGCTGGTACATCGTTCGACTCGCTGGTGCATAGTTCGATTCGCTGGCGCAAAGTTCGGTTCGCAACTATGACATCGGCCTTAGAGGGTTGGCAATAGAACGCTGCACTATGTTTGTTATCGTTTCTTCCAAAGGGAAAGCAGCAAATTAGGCCACCACTATGACGAAGCTATTCGGTGAAAACCACTCAGCGTCGCTGAAAAGCACCCAATGGATGCCTAAAGTAGAAAATGTTCAAGAGTGTTCTTCTGGGTACCGTATGCTCACGATACACATCGATCAGATCATGACACACAGTGATGTTGCCGCGATTCGCTACTGTGGCCCGGGCGTTCTGCTGGGCTGAGTTCTGCCGTGCTCCACGGCGGGGATCGCGCCGCATGCACTGTCAGTAAACTCATGCTCCGTCTTCAGTATTGCATCCAGCGAAGTTATTATGGAAGTCAGCCGAGGATGAAGATTGCGTTGAGGAAATAACAGCGTCAATGCGACTACCTCTCACTTGGGCGGAGGGCAAAAAGTGGTTTGCCGCAACCACCCACAAGGAGGGTTTCTTTGAGGATGCCATTTTCCTCGACGAGTGTTCACAATGATGTTAGAAAACACAGCTTCCATACAAGCCACATCCCCAGATTTCGAAGTAGAAGGGATAACTTCCTAATTCCCCTCGCTGGATGCAGTAATGGAGCTTTGAAAAACTATTTCTGTACCACAATATAAAAGCGTAGATGTCGATAACAGTGGAGAAACGAACTTCTCAATTTTCACAAGTGCTGGCTGAGCAAGGAAGGAAGCTGAAGCTTTCTCACACAACTGTGTAATTTCATCGTAGCTTATATCGAACTTCATGAAAGCTGGTGCTTCCGTATTCCTGAACATTCTTCTTTTTGGATACATTTGGATGTTCTTTACGTACATGTATTCCAATACTTATTGCTTTCATTGCTGATCCAAAGGGGGTCGTCAATGAGCGGCGAATTTAGAACACGAATCAGTAAATCCGCGATCAGATCGTCGTGGACAATGTCATTGAGATCGATCTTGAAACAGACGGTGAATGAGAAGGCTTTTAAGCGAAAAAGGTGAAGCTGAATAATGTAAGTACAACTACTAACATAGAGCTTTGTAACATAGAGCTTTGTGAGTTGTGAAGCTGCTCGAGTTTCTCATGCCAAAGAATTGTTAATCAATAAAGCACCATCCAAAGGAATCGTCATGGAAGATTCTTGCATTCTTCCTAACATTAATACGTCAGCTGGACCACTAGAGGAATAGCAAGTTAGGCGCAAGCGAGGGAGAAACAAACCTACGGAAACCAGCTGGGGACGGTCGCGGGTAGATCGGGAAGGCACAAGGAAGCGCATGGAAAGTAGAGCGGCTACATATCAGGCGACGCTTGGAAGAATTGGTCAGAGCGTGTCGATTTCGTAAAAGAGGAGCAAAACGACGCTAATATGGGCCTGATTGAAAAGGAAATGTTATTGCCATAGGAGGAGAAGGTAGTTCCTAGTGAGGCTCCGGGAATCAATTAGAAGCATCCCTGTTTTCAACATTTGTGACAGATGTACGGCGGTAATTTGAATTTGACAGTCCTCCCGGGTTTTTAAAGTGTTTACCAAAAACTAACACACTTCTTGTTATTTTCATATTATCGTGAATGACAGTTCTCAAGCCAGTGATTCATGTGTGAGATAGAATCAGGAGAAAACAGAATTTCCGTGGCCAATTCCTTTGAGTCTTTAATAAATAGCTGTTGAAATTACCGATGCCGAGTCCTCGTCACCTTCCTCTTCCAACTCATCTTCGTGGTCGGTAATTCCAACTGGGTTTAAATTGATCTGAAAGGTATCAAGAGTTGCTGACAGAATAAAGCTGCTGAGTGATTTCACATTGAGCAGTTTAGAAAAGATTTTCAGCTGGATTTCTGCTCACATAGAAAAGATTTTTAGCTGGGTTTCTGCTCACATGATTTTGGATCTACTCCTAACTCTTTCTTGCACTCACAAGTTGATGCACGAGAGTTTTTCCTTCGTGTATGCGAGTCCTTGCAAAGGTGTGTTATGCGAAAAGCTCGTTAGGCAGCTCCACAGCATTTGTCACCGCTTTGGGCAACACACCCGCTATTTTGGTCAAAGGGACCTTGCATGGTCGCCGCTCCGACAAAAATGGGACCCTCCGTCAGTATGTTAGGCCGCGTGTGAGCTGGACGGCCGAGACCGTTAGTTGCAGATTTCATCTTGGCGTCTGATCCTCCAAGGAGTATATGCTGATGAGCGAGACCTCGAAGGGAAAATTTCATGAACAGTAAATCATCGCGTATCTGATAGAAAACAATTAGAGGAACTGCCTTCTAGTAATCGGATTGTTAAATCAGATGTTGGGGTTCATTGCCGAACTATTTGGGTTTGTTCCATTAGTGTTAGGGATGACAACTGAACATGGAACATGGGTCAACTTGGCTTTGAAGCTGTTGACTGTCAGGTAGGCGTTGCAGTTGCTCCCCATCACTTGTTCTGCGCCTATATCTCATATTCGGGTCACTGTTACTCCACAGAATTGAGATATTATGCAAATACTTTGACACCCTTTACTTTGATACAGCGAATACTTTTTGTTCCAGCTCAATGAACTACCTGAACCTTGCCCTTGTTCGGTCAAATTGATAAGCCCAAAGCTGGACTGGAATTATACTCATGTTCGCGGTCAAACCATTAGACTAGCTTTCGAGTGGGACTTCACAAAAAATCATGATCTTGGCGCGTCTCTAAAGAAATTGAGTCATTGGTAATCCGTGACACCTCTTCTAGGCTTGCTGCTGGACCAACTGAAAAAGAGGTGTGTGAGCGAAAAAGCAGTCCATCTGGCTGAATGGGTAACACGGCAGCGAAATTCATTCCATTGGTACTGGTGGAACGTCGTAATCCCTAGCATCTCAGCTATTAGCAAAAAGCTTGAACTTTGTAAATAACAAAGGCCCAAACCTCTCCCTGACGGAGAGCTCGAGCTACCTCTAACGTTATCTTCGTACAGAACGTGCACTTTTCACCATTACCAGTAGTAGAGGAGCCTGGAGTTGTCCCCTCCGACGTGTCCAGAGATGTCGATGTGCTCTTTACCATGGCGCTTGACAATCTGCTGCTATGATATCTTATTTACTTGGTCACACGAAAGATATGAGATATTTCTAAATTAACTCGATTTTCCGAAGAAACGTCGAAATCTTGATCTTCGATTTGGGGCAGAAGGTCTTCGGGTGAAGATTACCAATGGAGCTTGCTTTTGCTGCTGTCCATCAGCTCGGTACACAAAGTGGAGCCACATCCTTTGTCGTACCCACACTACGCTATTCTGGTCTCTAGTGATGCTTTGTGAAATTGCCTTCGAGGAGGTTTTTATGGTAAGAGCGAGGGTCAAAGAAGAGGAAAATTGCTTAGTTGGAAAACAGGCGGACCTCCTGATCGTGCTGACCGACGCGCAATTTGCAGCGAAAAATTTGACTTCGGTGATCTAAATGGCACACTCTCGGCGCAGTAGGCACGGTCCGCCCACCAACATAGTAGAGAGATCATTAGCAGGACGGGATTCGCATCGATGCGGAAATCAACGGGCAAGGGAGGTGTCCCAATCTTGGGTGTTGGGTTCCGGACCGTTTTCCACCATTTTTCCTTCCTTCCTATATCACTGACCATCCCTAATTTGATTTGCAATTGGTTGCTTTTTCTGCGTAAAGTCCGCCGTTGATGGCGAATTCTAAATGCCAAATTTTGATGCTCAGATGATGCTCATTCATTTCCTCATCTAGCTTGAGTCGTACTGTTCTTCAGCATTGAAAGTGTACTGCAATTCGACGGCCACAGGCGAGCGAGGTGATACCAAGAAGCACCAGGAGTGCTTCTTGATTGGTTGGTAGCTAGAGTTGTCTCCTGAATTTCCTCAAGCCAACCTCGCAGGACATTTATTATTCCCGCATCTGTTCCTTCAACGCTCCATCTTTTGGCTGATTTTCTCGTTGAATATTTTGAAAGGACACTCAATGGTGGTGAGATGCTCAGGAACGTATTCCATGGAAGTGACTCTTCTAAATATGAAAGATCTTGAAGGTCCTCACATAACACACTAGCAGGAGCAGTATAAGCATATTGGTGAAACTCCAGTTCGGGGGGGGCACTCCATTGCTATCTTATCCGTAGTACTAGAGAGCAGTTCTTTGGGCTATCGAACACTACGGATAAGATAATAAGTGAACGACTCATTTCGAGCGTACTTTTGATAAGGACCGGTGGATGTCCACACTACCTGCCCACATCCCATCCACTTTTCTGCACAGGTGATCCACCCTGGAGCTCCTGCACCCTTAGCCCTTTGCGGAGGTGTCCTTTCTCCTGGTCCAGGACCGTTCCCTTGGGTCATGGCAGGCGGAAATGTGAAAACGTTTCAGGGTTTCTCACCCATTACACCAATATTTATCAGAAGTCTACTTTAAATGAGTCGATTACGTGTCGTGAGCCCTCTAATCCTTATCTTGAGTATTGGAGAAAAAATGGAGTGCCCCCCCCCGAACTGGAGTTTCACCCATATTTTAGCAAGAATGACAATGCCTTCAGAAAACCGTACTTTACCTATGACTAAGCCTTATGCTTACAGTACTATTGCCACGAGGTCGTGACAATTGCAGTTCCCGATTTTCTCGTTTTTGGTCTTCAGAGAGCCTCTCGAAAAAACAGCCTTATTTTTGTGTTCCACCGACAATCAGATGTTTGAGCCACGTAACGTTTAAAGGTTCCACGATTGTGGCAAACTAAGATAAGGGCTTTCGTTGCAACACGAACTACAAGCTTTTAATGAATGTTGAAGGGGGCCCGACGGTAATTGGACTATTTCAACTCGGTCCTTAAAACCGCCTTAATTTGATGCTTACCTCAGGACTAAGCCTTAAAGAGAGGACGGACCTGCGAGAGAGCGCAGGTCCGTCCTCTCCAAGGCTTAGTCCTGGGGTAAGCAAACCAGCCCTTTTGGCGGAGCTGCTGGACCAGCTGCACCACTTGCGTCATTACTCTCCTACCGTACCGACCGAGTTGAAGTAGTCCGTCGACCGTCGGGGACCCCATCCCTCCCCAACATTCAGCATACGGCCCCAGCAGAAACGCCAAAAGGGCTGGTTTGCTCACTTCTCTTTTTACGAATCATACCCGTGCAAATGGTTTCGGCACTGATGTAGTGAGGAGGTGAGGAAGGCGTTCCAAACCCTCTCAGTACTCTCTAACCAACTTCTTTATTCAGTCTCTTTCCAGGCGCTCATCATGTTGGGTGAGAGGAGGACATTCAAGTAAAGGAACCACTTACGGTACTTGGGCCTGAGCCTAGGAAAGGGAAGGATGATGGTAGCAATTCGTGTTCTATCTGGCTCCCTTCTCCTGAGCGTTTTAAGTGTCCCTTTAAGGTCAGCGCCTGTTCTCTATGAGCGCCTGCTTCAAGAATATGAAGTGTACTCTGACTGCACAGAAAAGCACTCACATCATCTGCTAACTCTTTTTTTGCGGCCATCCGCTCTTCAAACGGTTACTAACAAAACTGAAGCGAACACCACTTTGCTTACGAAAATGTGGTGATACCGCTCGCATTTCTCAGCTGACGTTCATTTTTCCTAATTCGTATGGAATGGATTAAGGCTTCATAACTCTTTAATATAGTATACCAGTTGGCGCAGCACAGCGTTGCGCGCGCAACACAGTTCTGCGGCGATATGGGATGGTGCGGCGTAAATTCTCAATTTTCTTTCTCAATTCTCAAACTACGAACATTTGACTTCTGAGCTAGGTTCTATCCGCTTCATAATTAGTAGCTCTTAAACTCTCTCTCTTTCTTCGCATCTTTCATTCATAGCGCGCGCCCCAGGGAGAGGTAGTGACTTCTGGTCACATTGAGGGTGAAAAAAAGTGACCAGTTGATAAAGGGCTGATAAGCTTGACTTTAGCAACCGCTAAAGATGTTATCTAGATGCGTGACGAGTAATCCATTACATTTCGTTTGCGATGTCGTCGTCAGCATCGATATCAATTGACAGCTAATCTGCCCAAGCTTCTCAGGATGGTTGGGGTTTGTGGCAGGAGTGAGCAGCCGAGAAAAGCTGATAAGAAATAAGATCAGCGCAAGAACACATATCACTCAAGACTAGATCCTAAATAAGAAACACATCCATTTCGTTTTCATCTCCATGCATTGTCATCGACATCGTCAAACTTCATTGGACAGATATTCTGCCCCAAGTATTCAGAATGTACCAGAGCATGCTCGAATAAACAAAATAGTAACACTGGGTATTTCTATTTCACATCATTAGCACCAGCATTAGTAGCACTATTACTCGACCGCTATTATCCTGACATTTCACGCATGGTGGTTGCTCACAAGCACCACTTTATGTAGTTCTGCATTACACCGCGTGTATAACGGTAGGTTTTCAGCGAAATTGGAGCAGCCTATGGAGCGTTCAGCCAAAGGGTATCACAAAACAACCTACAGCTCGATTCTTAACCCATTCGCGACATGGCAGCCACCGGTGGATTGACGGGCTTTCAATGGAATTTTTGAAAACAAAAGGAGGTCTTTGGAGATTTTCTTTGCTGTGAAGAATCTTCATACCCTCATCTATCTAGGCCACCCCTGGGCAGAGGAAATCTCTATCCACTAGAATTTTATTGAAGAAAAAATAACCTGACTTCAAAATTTCACCGAAAAAGTTGAAAATTTTTTTCCGCTGAAACTTTTCCCATGGGGTTTTCGAGGGTCCTCTCGAATATGATATCCATTTTTGGCGCTGGCGCCAAATTGGCGCCATTTGGCGCCAGATGGCGCCCTGGTGAATTCACCAAATTCGCTGTAAACTTGTATATGGGGGTTATTTGAGGCCCTGATTACGAATATGACATTCGTTTTGGTCGTTGCGCTATTT